TTTTTTTCAAATTGTTTGATTCATATATTGGGTTTGGTTTTTGACAGTTAATTTAAAACCTTCTACCTCAATTATAGCTTTATCAAACTTACCTTTTAATTCTTTACCCTTGCTTTATATAGTAAAACTTTAATGTTGGTAACATAAAAATTCATAATTCATAAACCTTACTGGTTGATGTATTATCCCTCTTAATTCCTATGTATCATTTTTTGCCACAAATTCTATTTTATCTAATATTAATATTGCTTCACAAGCTTTCCTTAGTAAGCATTTTTCATTCCCTTTCTTTGCAGTGTCTGGTGTGGTTTTGTGTCCAGATGCTCTAATTGAACAATAGGCAATCTAATATGCTATGTTTTCATTTGGTGAGTTAAATCCATTTAAAGTTGTGAATATCAATATATTTGGACTCCCATTTTGAGATCCATCTACAATACTTTTTCTTTTCTTTCTGTTACATTGAGATCACTTACTATATCACTCCTTCCTTTTCTATTGGTCTGGTGTGTACAGATTGCATTGCAGTCTGATTTGCTTTGTCAACAAAGACTAACCAAGCCCACTGTCATCCACTGGATGCTGACTCATAACAACTGTATTCATTGTTGTTAAGTGCCTTCAAGTGGGTTCTGATTCATAGAAACCCTGTATAGGGTTCCCGAGGAGTAGCTGGTGGGTTTGAACCACCAACATTGCAATCCAGTGCATTATCCTACGGCAGCGCCACAATCGTATAGAACAGAGTATAACTGCTCCATTAGGTTGCTGAGCAACCTGCTTTACAGAGCAGACAGCTGCACCTTTCTCCCTCAGAATCACTGGTGGGTTTAAACTGCTGACCTTGAGGTTAGCAGCCCAAGGCTGACCTTGAGGTTAGCAGCCCAAGGCCTAGCCCACAGCTTCACCAGAACTACTTAACAAAGTGGTGCTTAAATACTTAACAAAGCTACTCAGAATTTCTATCCTTTCCCTAAATATAAGTAAAAACTTTGTTGTTGTTGTTAAGTGCCATCAAGTCAGTTCTGGTTCATAGAAACCATTATAGAATTTCTGACACTACATATCTTTGGGATATGAGCAGAAAGCCTCATCTTCCTTCCAGAGTAGCTAGTGGGCTCAAGCCACCAATCTTGTGGTTCACAGTCCAGTGTTTATCCTACAGAGCCACCATGCTCTCCAAAAGAACTTGGGTGGTGGTTGTGTGCCACTGAGAGGATCCCATCTCACAGAGACCCTGTATAGGGTTTCTAAGGCTGCAAATCTTTATAGGATCAGAAAGCCTCATCGTTCTCTCTCGGTGCGACTAGTAGATTCAAACAACTCACCTTGTAGTTAGCAATCAAGCTCATAATCCATCATGCTACCAGGACTCCTAATAAGAACCTTGCTGCTGTTAAATGCCATCAAGTCATTTCTGACACACAGGGACCCCTATAGGGTTTCCAAAGAGCAACTGGTGGGTTTGAACTGCCAACCTGTGGTTCACAACAGATTAGACTTTAATTACCTATTAGATTACCTACTGAATTACCTATTAGATTACCTCCAATTTGTTATTGTTGGATGTTGTTGCTGATAAGTGCCGTCGAGTTTGTTCTGACTTTTAATGACACTGTGTAGGGTTTCTGAGGAGCAGATGGTGGATTTGAACTGCTGATCTTGTGATTTGCAGTCCACTGCTGATCCAACAGTGCCACACCAGGAGTTTTGTTGGATAGACTCTATTGTTGGGCAGAGTTTTCATTTTTATTGTATGTGTTTTAAAAACATAAAAATGATTCTAGCGTAATTCATAGTGAAATTTATTTGTTATATCTCATCCATTACCAGAGTCATCATTGTTTCTTGTGCATCTTCTAAATCCACTTTTTTTCTTGCAGAAATACAACTTTCTCTGACTCAAAGAATGATTAAAAAGATTATTAAATGAAAGTATGATTGTTGTTGTATGCTACTGAGTCAATTTTAACTCACAGCTACTACAGAGGACAGAGTAGAAGTGTCCCATTGGGTTCCCAGGCTGAGACCTGCATGGGAGCAGATGGCCAGGTCTTTTCTCTGCAGAGCCACGACTCCACTGCACAGAACCACCACCACCACCTTTCGGTTAACAAGCTTACGCTTAGTTGCTGTTCCCCAGGACCCCTTTATAAGTATGAAAATAATTGTTTTTAAAATGTTATTCATAGAGGAAAAAACAGAAAAACGAAAAAAATTATTGAGAAGCTGTTTATATTAGGTCAGATGATATGCTATTTAAGGCCAAAGATTCCCAAAACAGAAGTTTTCTCTCCCCTTACACCATTCTAAGAACTTAGACAGCTTCCACTTACTAAATCAGGTCCCTTTAAGACTTGAAAAATCAACACAATATAGCAGAATGAGCAAGGGGCTCAGAAGACCTGGGTTCAAGTTTTACTCTACCGCTGACTAGTGGAACAACCTGGACAGCTTTTCAGATTCTCAAAGTCCTCATGAATGCCGTGGAATCATTTGTCTTGCCAGACTTTTGTTAAGAGGAGTAAGTGAAACAATGAACATAAAAGCATACAAAACTATAAGAAGATTATATATGTATATGCATCCATACATGTATATGTTATTGTTGTTATGTGCCGTGGAGTCGGTTCTGACTCATAGTGACCCTGTACAGGGTTTCTGAGGCTGTAAATCTTTACAGGAGCAGAAAGCCTCATCTTTCTCCTGCGGAACAGCTGGTAGTTTCGAACTGCTGACCTTGCGGTTTGCAGCCCGATTAGTAACCACTACGCTACCAGAGCTCCTTGTATATGTATATATGTGTATTTAGATAGATAGATAGATAGACATTATTTTTTTACAATAAGACAAAATATACAGTAACATTAGCAAACTAGATGATCCATGCCCAAAATCAGCCAAGCCAAACTGGACCCAAAATAAACCACGTGACAAGGCAAAGACAGCTCCCACCCTGCTTCCTACTGTCTCACTTCTATGGCAATCTTGTCTTTTCCCCGATTAAAATTATAGGATGAGTCGTGCAGCCTTCATCACTACTCCCATGATATTCAGCCTTATAAATTAGTGAGTGTTTTCTTGTGTTATCTCTTTAATGAGGTAAGCTGGGCTGAGCACCTGTCGGCTGCCATGACCGCACTTCATACACTTTAATTAAAAGTGGCAATCCGGTCTTATTGTCCAGGCTTTGGCTTGTTTTTTCCTAGTAAATTTATATTCTTGTTAATAGTTAGTGCTCCTAAGTTAGAAGTAATCAGCTATTTCAAGTAGAAGAATGCGCCTCAAAGCTCTTCTGAGGTCAAGCTTAGGTGGCCTCTTTGTGTGAGGCTAGCACATTATTGTGTTAAAATAGATCCAAAGGCTCATGGCAGGTCCTAGAGCACACAGAAAGAAGAGGCTGAGAGAACAGTCCTGCGCAGCTCCCTCATTCCATTCCATGACTTGTTTCATAAAGCACAGCCATGGTGCCATGGTTATACTTGGATCAGTCTAGTTGCTTTCACATCAACAATCCATTTAGCTTGTGTTGACAGGAGGGAGTTCTGTGATGATAATTATTCTTCCTGTTCCAAAGAATAAGTTCATACCCGACCCCAGGAGAAGGGTTCCTAGTAAAGGAGTACTTCTTGTGCTTATTTTAAGTCATTTATTTCTAATATCAAAATGGAGATAGTTTAAATGAATATGAATGAAGGACAAGTAATATTACTTTATTTAGGAAATAGACTCAAGCTTTTTAGGAGTTTTATCACTTACCCCAAAATGCCTTAATATCTTAGGATATAATATCTAACAGATGCAAGAGCATTTTTGAGAATGGCCAGAAGGACAGATTTCCTGGTCAAAAAAGCTCTATTCATCCAAATTTATACTTAAGAACGCCAGTAATTAAGACATCCCCACTGATCGTGAACTCAGAAGAGGATAAGGAAAGAACATGAGAATAAGGACACAATTACAATTATCGCTCCCCTTCCGTTATAGGAGAATTCCATTCATCTCTAACAGCCTGATATCAAGATTAACTTATGTTGTTGTAGCTAAGTTCTGTTGAGTTGGTTCCGACTCATAGCAACCCTGCACAGCATTTCCGAGGAGCAGCTGGTGGGTTTGAACTGACAACCTTGTGGTTCGCAGTCCAGTGCTGATCCTAAATTGCCACACCAGGAGTCCAGATTGAACTACACTACCTGCAAAAAACAGCATTTGTAGGCCAAACAACTCCGATTCATGACAATGCACGTCAGAGTAAAACTCCAGAGGTTTTCAAGTAGAACTGTGCTCTATAGGGTGGCTAAAGTGAACACGTTTCAGTGTTGTATCTTCAATCGTGGTGGGTTACGGAAGAACCTGAGCCACCTACTACGCTAAGAAACCTAAAGAAAGGTAGGTCAGTACAGGCAGTCCCCAGGTTACAAATAGGATCTGTTCCTAAGTATGTAAGTTGCATTTCTAGGTAAGTCTGAACAGGTGAATAGGCTTCGTTTCAATGATTGTGATGAAGAATTTGTTGAAGGGCTGGTTCAATCATTTCAAAATGAGGGCAAACTTACATAACAACGACAAGTTGGGGGTTGTCCGCAGGTTAATGTGCTGGACTGCAAGGTAAGTTTGAACCACAAGGTCGGTGGTTCAAGCTCAGCAGCCACTCCTCAGAAACCCTATACAAAGTCACTTTGAGTTGTAACCAACTCTATGGCACTTAACCACAACAACAACAAGGGGTTATCTGTAAGTGGGAAAGTCGAAACTCAGGGTCTCATTGTACCGAGAGCAAATAAGGACAAACAAGTAAAAGCAAAGGTCTATTAACTTTTGTAGTTGCTAACCCAACAATCAAAAACATTCAAGGTTTGGCCTATACAAAGGACTTCATAAAGACGATACTACAGCAAAGACTAGGTGTGCCTAGACTGGCTTCCTTAAGACAAGCATTAGTGACTTCACCAAGAAATGTTCACAATGTCCTTGAGCAACAGAGGAGTCCCCCGACTTACCTCATGCTTTGAGAAGAGGCGGACAGCCTCCAGCTGATGGAACACTGGGTAGTGTTGGGCGTCAATCTGGTCCCGCCGGTAGACATCACCCACCACCAGGAAGGCGTCCAGCCCCGAGTGCATCAGGTCCCACTGGTGTGCTGATGTGTGCGCCCGCAGCATATGCGTCTGGTTCAGGTAGTAGTTGTCCCCCTTCTTCCTGCTAGGGTGGTCAGCTGCGATGAGCAAGCTATCAAAGTTCTGCCAGGTTGTGACCACTGGAGGAAGGTTGTCGTAGACCGAGAAAAGTGGGGTCCCAAAGCGGCCCATATACTGCTTGTAGAAGTGCTCCTTCACCCTCTCCTTGACCAACCACAGTGGGTGATGCTGCTGGTTATGCAGATTCCTGCCTACCTTGGAGAGGATCTTCCTGGTGAGGTTGGTGTAGTTGTCCTGAGGGTAGGTTCCGCCCAGGAGCTCCACCACTCTGCCTGCATTGCCAGGGGCAGTGCACACTGAAGCTTCAGGTGACATGCCCAAGGCCTGGTGCTGACGGTCTCTGGAGGCGCTGCTGACCCTTCTCACCAGGGATGCGCTTGCACGGGCACCCCTCAGGAAACCTGAGCAAACCATCCTGGAAACTTCTCGTAGACCCTGGAAAGAGCACATGCAGAAAGCACAATTTCACACTGTGAGAACGTGCAAACTTAGCCTTCATGCCTCCCACCCGCTCTCCATCGTCCCACTGACATCTATGGCTCCCAACACCACCAGCTTCATACCACTGGGACTCAAATAAAGAAACCTGCTGACAGTGTTTAATTATGACTGTGTAAAATTGGAAAACTCTTGAAAGTCACCTTTAGACCCCTGCTCATCTTTAATGCCCTTCCCTTGCTGCTTAGATATTTGTCCTTGTAGGAAATTTCCTTTATTGCTTTATGTCATGGTCTAAAGTCCTCACCTGAGGCAAAAGTGTAGATGTAGCAGCTTGTTTTCAATTTCCACTATATGAGGGGGCTTCAAAAATTAGTGGAAATTTTGAATTAAAAGATAATGACAGCATCCAGAATCTTCAGAGGTGGGAAATTTCCACTTGAAAAGACAGGCAGACAAGCCTGGAGCGGCTAGAAGAACAGAAGATACTTCTTGAAAGAAAGACCAACAGGAAAAATACAAAACAATATAGGCTGACCAACTGATTACTGCAAGAACAAGCAAGCTGCTCACCCAGGAGACATCAAGGCAAGTGATCGGATCCCCTTCCAAAACTAAGACTCAATGGGAATAAACGCTCTGATTGGTGGCTACATTCTTCACCAATAAGGGGAAGTGAGGGAAAAACTGCAATGAAGCTGCGAGCTAAGCCCTACAACATTCAATAGACTCTTGTGAACCTGGATGGAGACCTGGATGGCCAGGAGTGTGGCAAGACCTGGGAACTCTTCGGCCCAAAGTCTGTGACATAGCCAAAGAGGATTAGAGTGGAGAGTGAAGCATCCAGCTGATAAGAAGAGAGGGCATATGCACAAGAACACCCACACTTGACTTGACCTGGCTTCAATGACTGGATGATCA